TTACCATTACCGTTGCCATTGCCATTGTCAGTGCCTCGCTACCCCTTTACCACTATCATTACCGTAACCATTACCAGTACCATTACCATTACCACTGTCATTACCATTACCATCGCCATTGCCATTGCCATTGCCATTCGAGGATTTCAGTAGGAATCATTCAGTGGAGGGTTTCAGTAGGAATCCACATGTGGAGGATTTCAGTAGGAACCATTCAGTGGAGGGTTTCGATAGGAACCCTTCTGTCGAGGATTTCACTGTGAATCCTTCTTATGGGGGCGTTCAATAGGAACCCTTCTAGGGGGAGGGCAGATGTGGCCACGTCGCATTCCTTTTTTTTCTCCTGGCGTCCCCCCCCCAGGAAAAAAAAACATTGTTTTTCTGGGGGGGGGGGGGGGCGCCAGAAGAAAAAAAAGGCAGAGAGGTAGGGGGAGAGGTAGAAGGACGAGGAGGAGGAGGAGGCGGAGGAGGAGGAGGAGCAGGAGGAGGAGGACGACACAGAGCAGAGTTTGCACAGAAACAGTCGCGAACTCAGCGCGAAAGCCTCGCGCGCGCGCTTTGGAACCACAGGGACTCCACAATCCCCCGTTCTCGAGGAGGAGGAGGATGAGGAGGAGGAGGAGGAGGAGTGGGAGAAGGAGGAGGAGGAGGAGGAGGGGGAGGAGGAGGAGAAGGAGGAGGAGGAGGAGGAGGAGGAGGATGAAGACGATTGGGTTCACGAGGAGGGACAAGGGTAGGCTGGGGTCCATCCCGACCAGCCCTTCGGGGAGGGTGCAGCGGGGGCGGCGCAGCAGCCTCCCCGGAGGCCCGGGAAAAGCGTGCAGAGGAACGCGCCCAGGCCTCCGGGACGGTGCTCCGGGGCGATGCTCTCCCTGACCTTCCAGTAGGGCTGGAAAAATAACACCAGGGCACCAGAGCCGAGGTTTCTACGCAGTCCAGAGGGGTCTGCAGGTCTGGAAGGCTATCCTTGAACACTCTGGAAGGTCGGGGTTAGCGGCCCCAGGTCCCGGCCCCTGCCCCGGGTGTGCTCTGGCAGGTTGACTGGCACTGGGGGGGGTGGGGGGCACGGGCGTGGCGAGGCTCGTAGAGGAACTCTGGACTCCAAGCAGGTCGGGGCAAGCTTGCGCGCCCCTTGGGCCCCCAGCGCTTGGGGGGGGGGGGCGCGAAAGGCCATGCGAGTGAACTTGCCTGAAACTGAGTCAGCCACCTTCATGACAAGCACGACCCTGGCGTTCCCCACCGTTGCCTGCACGGGCCGTGGCCCTGAGATCCTACGTTGGAAACATGCAACACCGCGAAAACTTGCGACCAGAGCCCGAAACCCAATCTTTCCGCATCATTGTTCGAGCCGGGTCGATCTGTGAGGATCCTGAGGTCACACCAGGACCTCAGGGTCCCAGGACCGCTGTGCACAAATTGCCACGCCAGGACCTCAGGGTCCCACGTGGCGCCATTCGTGTTTTGCTCACCCACCGGCGCTTTTGGCAGGCCCTCTCCGGGGCTCCGGGGGGAGACAGAGAAGCCGCACGCCGTCCGGCGCGTAGGCACAGGCACCGCGAGAAACATCAGACCTCGCTGGTGCAGCACAGTAGAATACAGATGCCGAGTCTAGATAAGGCTTCGGCCCAAGCCATTCCCTGGCAGCATCGGCTGCGCAACTCGCAGGCGGGAGGGCGCCAGCCACGCTCGTCGCCGATGCGATTTTGCACGGCGGCTCTCCCGGAGGGGGGTCGGCAAGCCACCCCCACCCGAAACTCTGCCTGGGCCGGGCGTCCCCCTACAGGCGGATTTTGACAGAACAACGAAGAATACTTCAAACAAATACTCAAAAATAGTCAACAATGTTCGGAAAAATCGTCCCCAGACGATGTGTTGACTAGTTTTGAATACTTCTCCTGCAGAGGGACAGGCCCGACATAAAACCATCCCCCGGATGCGCAGGTCTTGGCGCCCCCCCCCTGGGGCGGCCCCAAGAGGCCCCCGAGAAGCCCCCAAGAAGTTTCTTCCAAACTGCCTGCAAGATGCCCCCGAGAAGCCTCCCACGAGAGGAGGAGGAGGAGGAGGAGGAGGAGGAGGAGGAGGAGGAGGAGGAGGAGGAGGAGGAGGAGGAGGAGGAGGAGGAGTCGATCTGCATCGAAATCCTAATCCAGCTAGCCACAGCCATCTGCTTACAGGGAACCGCAGAGCCTGGGATTGTCCATGGGGGCATTTACACCATAAAAGGAACGAAAGGCCTGGTGCCGACGCTGTCGCGCGCGCAGCGCAGGCGGTGGTTCCACGGCGCGGGGGTACCTCAAAACTGTTTGCGGGCTAATTTCCGCAATCTGATTCGCCGATGAAGGGCTTCCAGCCTATCTTCCCAAGCTCTCGTGCTGAAGGAGCGAAGAAAGGCGAAGGAGGGAACCGACGAGGCCCGAGGAGTGGAAGGGTCGGGGATTAAAACCTGGTATAAACTGCTGTCTACTCTTCTAGGCTCGGCAATCCTACTACTGTTACTCACTGTCTGCTGCTCACTCCTGCTTTTCATGTGCCCTTTATGCATCACTTCTGCTTCAACGCGTAAGCGCACCTCCCGAGCGGAGCCTTCTCTGGCAACTTCTGAATCCCGTCCGCTCCCAGGCGCAGCGAGATCAGCCGACTCACTGCCACGAGCGTGGATCCGCGCTTGGTGTTGAGCTCGAGTGGGTGATACGTGTGCAACGCTATCTCCGCCTCCTGCTCTAACGTGAGGGCGACTGGCCAGTGACCTTCGAAGTGGCATGGCAGTCTGGCCTGCGGGTTGGTCCCTGCTGTGGCCTGCATCTCTGAAAGCTTTGCATCTCACGCACCAGTCCTCTTGGTCCGCTGGAGAGAGCTCGGCTCTGGCTGCGTCTGGCCTCTTGCGCGCCAGAGATATGCACTGGATGTCGTCGCTCTTGCCCTCTGTGGACGTGTTCGCCAGGCTGCCGAGCATGGCTTCGGCCGCGTGCAGACGAGGGGATCCGCATTCGTGCTCGCCGTCGCTCGGACGTCCATTTCCCGTGCACTTTTCGGTTGCGTGCGTGTTTTTTTTGCTCGTTGGTCGAGGATGGTCCTCGATGGTTCTCGCCGAGAAAAACTGCACACGTCCAAGCGATGCCAGGCGTGTCCTGATCCTGCCTCTCTGACTAGGACCTCATACTTGTTGGTCGCCTCCTTCGCGGCCGGAGAGAAGGAACAAACAAAAAAAAACGGGGTGACCCGCGGGGCCCCTGAGGTGACTGCCGGACGTCTCCCTCTCCCTCTGTGCGAGCCTCGAGCTGCCGCAGCAGGGCGCTGCTCTTGAGACGCTCCTGCCGTGCCACGGCCCTCGGCCTCCTCGGCGCTCGGGGCCCTACCCCCTCCGCCGTCTCGGCCGAGGATTCGCCACTTCGCCATCGGTGGCGACGTCGTGGTTCTCGGAGATTGGCAGGGTGTGAGCGCTGACGAGGTGCTGGTTGAGCAAGGCTGGAGCTTGAGCAGTGACAAGGCACAGCGGACAATCAACAGTCTTGTGTGATGCTCTACTGGGAGCACGCACTGAGAAATCGGAAGCACATCTGCGGTGTCGAAGGGAGGATGAGGAGGAGGAGGAGGAGGAGGAGGAGGAGGACGACGAGGATTCCAACGAACATCCACTAGGCTTCTCACCCACAACCCAGGCACAGTGGCGGGACCTGCCGTAGGCAGCTGGATATCCCCCGGGTTACGCAGGTCGAGGCTGGCCCCACGGGGCGGCTGCGTAAGACCCTCCCGCAGGGTGGAGCCCCTAGGGTGACGCGCGACCTCCTCCTGCCCCTCAGCATCCTCCCTCTGACTCCTCCTCCACCTCCTCCTCCCCCTCCTCCTTCTGTCCCTCCTGCCCCTCCTGCCCATCGTGTTCCTCATGTCACTCCCCCCCTCCTCCTGCTGCTGCTCCTCCTCCTCCTCTTCCTCCTCCTCCTCCCCCTCCTCCTCCTTGTCCTCGCCCTGGGCCTCATCTTGCGTCCCTCCTCCTCCTCCTCCTCCTCCTCCTCTTCCTCCTCCTCCTCCTAATCCTCCTCATCCTCCTCATCCTCCCCCTCCTCCCGCTATTCCTCCTGCTCCTCCTACTCTCCTCCCCCGGGCCCCATGGCGCCGGGCTGCGGGGCGGGCACGGCACCCAGGGTAATCATCGGATTGGGAATCGTCCAGGGTCTGAAGCCTCCTGAGCACATTCCTTAACGAACGATCCCACCGTAATCTCAGTTCATGCTCAAGCGATCCTCCTCAGCCCCCTCCCGCTCCCCTCGCTCTCCTCCGTCATCGTCGTCGTCGTCAAAATCATCATCACCACCACCACCATCATCATCAGCATCACCAGCAGCAGCATCATCACCATCACCAGAATCATCAAAATCCTCCTCATCACCATCATCATCATCAGCAGCAGCATCATCAGCAGCAGCAGCCGCATCATGATCAGCATCGTCATCGTCGTCGTCACCATCATCAGCCGCAGCAGCAGCATAATCAAAGTGAGAATCGTCATAATCACCATCATCGGCAGCATCAGCATCACCACCATCAGCAGCATCGCCATCAGCATTATCGGCATCATCATCATCATCATCATCATCATCATCAGCAGCAGCAGCAGCATCATCATAATCATCAGCAGCATCCCCAGCATCATCATCAGCAGCAGCATCATCAGCATCATCGTCGCCATCGTCGTCGTCATAGCCCTCACCATCATCGTCATCCTACCCCTCATCATCGTCACCACCACCATCATCATCATCATCATCATCATCATCATCATCATCATCATCATCAGCAGCAGCATCAGCATCAGCATCAGCATCAGCATCAGCATCATCACCATCATCAACATCATCATCAGCATCGTCATCATCATCACCATCATCACCATCACCATCATCGTCATCATAACTCCGTAGCCATTTTGGCTCAAGCGAGCTCAGGTGCGGGAGGCCCTAGCGGCGCGCGCGCGGTGCACGCGGGCGGGCGTTCCAGTGGCCATGGATGGACGGGCGTGGACTGCGGCTAGCGCCCGCACGCCGGCGCGGCGGCTGCAGCGTCAGCGCTGGCAGGAGCGGGGGCAAACGCGGGCGGCGGCGCTGGCCTGCAGGGCGAGGGGCCCGCGCGAGGCCCTGGCCGCACACTGGGCGCTGGGCGACCGCCTGGGCGGCCCTGCCCCCTGTTTCGGGGACGCGGTGGCCATGGGGCGGCTGCTGGGCTGCCCAGCGGAGGCGCTCGCGGAGGCGCAGGAGCACCAGCCTGGCACAGGCGACCTGCGCGAGGCACGCGCCACCCCCAGGCCGCGCGTGCCTGCCAGGGCCGTCGCCCGGAGCAGCGCGGGCGGACGGGCTGGAGGCCCCGCTGCTGGCGGCGGCGGCGGCGGGCAGGCCCCGGCCAGCGCGGACGGCGCTGCGCGGAGGGGCGCGACCCTTCGCCCCGCTGCGGCACTGCCTGCTGCCCGACGCGGAAGCCCTTCGGCGAGCAGGCGGCGGCGGCGGCGGCGCCCAGCCTCGCGGCGCCCCTCGGCGAGCAGGAGCCCCTCGGCGAGCAGGCGGCGGCGGCAGCGGCGCCCGACCTCGCGGAGCCCCTCGGTGAGCAGGCGGCGGCGCCGCCGCTCTACCCCGCGGAGCCCCTCGGCGAGCAGGCAGCGGCGGCTGCGCCCGACTTCGCGGAGCCCCTCGGCGAGCAGGCGGCGGTGGCGGCGGCGGCGCCCTACCTTGCGGAGCCCCTCGGCGAGCAGGCTGCGGCGGCGGCGACGCCCTATCTCGCGGAGCCCCTCGGCGAGCAGGCGGCGGGGGCGCCGCCCTACCTCGCGGAGCCCTTCGGCGAGCACTTCTTCCATTGGATCGACGACTCGGAGCTCTTCGGCAAGGGGGGGGCCGATTGAGAGGGCGCAGTTCCTCGACCGCGCCAGCCACGACGCGCTGGCGGCCACGTCCACGGTGCAGTACGACGCTGTGGAGGAGCTCAGGTTGTGCGCGATAGACCGGGTCAGGGACAACCACGCCGCAGGGCGAGATGTGGACATGGACGGGTAGAATTGTGCAGGAATGGCCGAGGCCCAAGGGCTCTCGGCGACGGACTGAGACGGGTGCAGTTTGGGGTGCGTCTGCGCGGAAACCCTGGAGAGGGGGCCCAAGTACCCCGTGAGTGAGTGAGCCTGCCGCTGTGCCGTGCAGAGACCGATCGAGGTCTCCTGCGGAAGGTGGGGGGCGCTTCGGAGTAATGTAGCTGATTGGAGAGTTCGGGGGAGACCGCAAGTCGGCGGCTGCCCCCCCTCGGGAGAGCGCGATCATCGTCATCACTATCCGCATCAGCACCAGCACCACCATCATCATCATCATCATCATCATCATCATCATCATCATCAGCAGCAGCAGCAGCAGCAGCAGCAGCATCAGCATCAGCATCAGCATCAGCATCAGCATCAGCATCAGCATCACCACCACCACCACCACCACCATCACCATCATCATCATCATCATCATCATCATCATCATCATCATCATCAGCATCAGCATCATCATCATCATCATCATCCTTATCATTATCAGCAGCAGCAGCATCAGCAGCAGCAGCATTAGCATCAGCATTAGCATCATCAGCATCATCAGCAGCATCAGTATCATAATCAACAGCATCATCATTGTCGTCATCATCATCAGCATCATCGTCAGCATCATCAGAAGCATCAGTAATATCGTCAGCATCGTCATCACCAGATCATAAAGCATCAGCGTCATCGTCAGCATCATCAGCAGCGGCATCATCATCAGCAAGTACTCATCCTCATTGCCAACGCCACCAACGACATCCTCAACATTCTCATCGTATCACCATCATCATCATCATCATCAGCATCATCAGCAGCACCAGCATCATCATCGTCATCACCATCATCATCATCATCATCATCATCATCATCATCATCATCGTCATCATCAAAATCATCATCATCATCATCATCATCATCATCATCATCATCATCATCATCATCATCATCATCATCATCATCATCATCATCATAATCATCAACCGCCCCTCCTTGCTCTTCCCCAGGAATGACAGCAGGGCATCGCGGCGCCCCGCTGTCATAAAGGCTTACGTCCGGTTCTCTTTTCAAGTGGCGAGGCTCTCTCCCAGGCCGCCTGCTCAGATCACTGCAGCTTGAACCACCTGGCAAGAAAAACACTCCCAGTCTTCCCCTTTTCCCGTTCCCCTCCCTCTCCCCCCCCCCTTTGCTCATCCCCCCTTCTCCCCTATCCCTCCCCACCCCCCTCTCCCATTCCCTCCTCTCCCCTGTTCCCCCCTCCTTCTCCGCCATCCCATCCTTCCTCCTCTTCCTTCTCCCCCGAAGCCCTACGAATTATGGGAAGCGCAATTTCCTTCAAAAAGCAGCACTGCATGAGCCACAGCTGCGTTTCCCATAATTTTTGATTAATTATGGGAAGCGCAATCCCGGAAGACTGCCCTCCCCATCCTCCTCCTCCCCCTCCTCCCTTCTCCCCCTCCTCCCCCTCCTCCTCCTCCCCCTTCCTCCTCCCCCTCCCCCTCCCCTCCTCTCCTCCTCCTCCTCCACCCTCTCTCCTCTCCTCCTCCCTCCTCTCCTCCTCTCCTCCTCCTCCTCCTCCTCCTCCTCCTCCTCCTCCTCCGCCTCCTCCTCCTCCTCCTCTTGCTCTCCTCCTCCTCCTCCTCCTCCTCCTCCTCCTCCTCCTCCTCCTCCTCCTCCTCCTCCTCATCATCATCCTCGTCCTCCTCCTCCTCCTCCTCCTCAGCCATTTTGCGCCGAGCCGCCTTTGCGCCTGCAGAGAGGCGGGACGGTGTTGGAGAGCGCCAACTTCAAAGTGGCACTGCGCTCTCGAGCTGATTTATGGCCCCACGATCCAAGTCGCGGGATGGAGGCTGGGCTTGCAGCGGTTGCAAAACTCGGAATGGGGCAGGCTACGACTTCTGCTGGAAGTGCTGGAAGGTTCGAGACTCCGCGAAGACCGCGAACCACGGTGCGACCAGCACCCAGGACGATGCTGACGCCGACGATGCCACCAAAGCTAAGCTCAAGAAGTTACGGGTGCACCTGGCAGAACTTCGAAAGCATGCGGAGGACCCAGACTTGGCAAAGCACGTCCAGGGCAACATCGACATCGTACAGGAGGAGGTTGATGAGTTGCAGGCAGCTGTCGACAACGGCAGCGACATCCCTCGTTGCTTCTCGGAGTGTAAGCTCGTACGAGAGAGGAACAAAACGCAGGCACAGCGGGAGCGCACCCAGGAGCGGGTCGAGAAGCTGGAGGAGGAAATCAAGGAGGCCCAAGAGAAGCTCGAGAAAGAGAAAGCACTCTTGGCCAGACAAGATGAGAAGCTGCAAAAGCAGAACGCCCGCATCGAGGAGCTCAGCGTGCCCAAGGAAGGCAAGGGCTGGGGAGCGGCCGTGTCCTTCCTGGAACAAGCGAAAAAGTGCCTGCGCGAGCAGGAGACAGACACCAATATCGCCGAAGCCCTCAAGCACGCGCAGCAGCAGCACACCGCCGAGGAGGAGCGGGCTGCCGCGGCAGCAGCGGCAGCAGCCGCCAAGAGGGAGGCCGACGCAGCCCGCGAGGCCGCCCAGGACAAGCAGCAGAGGAACAAGCGCAGAGCCGAGGAGGAGTTCAAGCAGAAGCTGGTCTCGTTCCCCCAGAACGCCGACGTGGCGCAGATCACCAAGGTCATGCACGAGGCGGGCTGTACGGCCGAGCAGATCGAGCGCCACAGGCCTCATCTTCTTCCTCTGCTGGCTGGCATGCAGCCAGACACCTCGCTCACCATCAGCAAGAGTATGTGGACGGCCCCGCCGTCATCCTGACAAAGAGCGAGGGCAGGGGTTCTGCACAATCAGCACGAACCCCACCGGCACGCTGGAGCGCACCATGCGGGCCACCAGGTACACGCACAAGTATCGCACTGTCATGGCGAAGGAGCTGCAGGCCAACGAGCACAGCATCTCCTGCGTCATCCAACGGATGCAGAAGGAGGGCTGGAGGCCGGGCACCGTGCCGAGCGTCCGCACCGCGCGGGGAGGCTGGAGAGCACAGGTGCCCCTGGCGACCGCGCGGCCAAACAACATGAGCTACGCCAGGGGGCCCGACACGAGGGGCGACTCGCCCCGCGAGTCCAAGGGCCGCCGCGCGAAGGGCAGGATGCAGGCTATCGGCAAGGAGGGCGCCACCGCAGGCACGGCTTACCTCTGGGACAGCGAGGGCACCCCGCGGAACTTCACCACGGCCGCCGCAGGGGCGGGGAAGTACTGGATCCAGGGCGGCGACGTCGACATGGACCCAGCAGAGCTACAGCACATTGGGGTGATCAACAGGATGGAAGGGGTCATCGCGTTCGACACTTCGCGCGGCTCGCGCGTCACATTGGGGGAGGCACGGTGCCGCGACTACTTCATCATACCCAAGACGCTCCTGGACGGCCCGCCCCACGAGGCCGCGCAGGACCAGTACAACATGTCGGCGCACTCACCTGTGCCCCTACGAGTTCCTCACCTAGGGGAAGGGAAACGCTGGGCTCGGGTACTGCGGCGCCAACGGCAACGGCCACATCAGCTGCCCACAGGTCGCGCGACGGGGCCGACCGCGCGGCCGCGACCCCTGGAGCATCGCAGACGCACTCAGGAGGAAGTGGACCGCTGCGGGGGGAACCTGGGCAACACGCACGAGGAGCACTCGAGCAAATACCCCAACTACGTCGGCCAGGACGGGCAAGAGGGCAAGGGCCACCTGGTCTGCGCCCAGAACAACGCCAAGGGCATCCTTGGGAAGGACAGCATCGAGCCGCTCCTCGAGCGGGACTACCTAGCATGGCGCGCGGTGCCAAATCAGGAGGAGGGCAACGTAGACGCCATGGGCGAGCAGGAGAACTCCGACAACCTGGACGAGTTAAGCCACACAGGACGCCGAGTCGAGGGGGACACTACGAGCCTCCCAGAGAATACTCCTCGGCGGACCCCCGCTGTCCTCGGCCTCACGGCTTCGCAGGACTGCCCGTTGGTCGGGGCGGAAGCGGCAGGAGAGCGCCGCCGACCGACGGGGCGGGGGCGACGCACGGACATCGATTGGGGCAGGGTGGCGATCACAGCCGCCTGGATCGACGCCGAGCACATCACTCAGAGAGACTTGCACTACGTGGACAGCGTGGCCAAGCTCATGTGGGAGACCAACCGCATGCCCTACGCGAGGCGTTGGGGGGCGGCCAACAAGCGAGCCCATGACTGGGCGCGCCGAGGGGGATCGCGGGAACGCGCGGCACGGCCACAGGCCCTCTACTGCGAGGCCGCGCGGGCCGACGGGCACCACCACGAGGGGACCTACTTCGGCCTGATCAAGTGCTTCGAGTGGGGTACTCAGCGGAAGGTACGGGAGGCGTCGCAGCGATGGGGCGCCAACCCAAGCATCATGCGGACGGACCGCAAGCTGTACAGCGTAGGGCGGCACAGCGTCCTGGACGGGGGCTACACCGAGGGCAAGGCTGGGCAGCGGGGCATCGAGGCGGACAGCTGGCACATACCGTTCGGTCGCAAGATGGTCATCATCCTCGAGCTGGACAGGCTGGCGTACCAGGTTTTCTGGGCGAACACGCGCCTCTTCGTCGAGGACCGTGCCGCGGCCACGTACGGCAGGCACGAGCACGTCGGCGAGGACCACCCGCAGCCCATCGCGGCCGTGAGCTATAGGTTCGAGACGACCCTGGACATGGCGGTCTCAAGCGGCACGGAGGCGAAGACGGCCACCCTGGCCTCCTCCGCCGCGGGGAGAGATCGCATCAACAAGAGGACCAGGCACCTCGGCGCGAGAGTAGCCCAAGCACGAGAAGCACCTGGGAGGGACTGCAACAGCATGCAGACGGAGTAGAGTGGCCGCCGTCAACAAGCGGGCGCCGAAGTTTGCAGAGAGGAAGGCACGGGCGGCAGCCGTGCCCAGAGCAGGAGGAGCGACATACAAGCTGATCCGACAACCCAAAGTGGGTGGCTCGAGGCAGTTCGGCGACTACGCACCACTGAGACGAGGAGGAATTAGCCTCACCAAGCTCAAGGACAACGGCGAGTACGACATGGATGACGGGGGCTACGGGCCCCGCCCTGGCGCGCCGCGGGTCCAGAGCATCTTGCGGGTGGAGTTCTACGCGCTGCGGCAGGCGCCGCAGGCAGGCACCCCGCCCATGCTCATCCGCACCGACAGCCAGAACGTAGTCGACGGCATGATGGCGGGACCGTCGTGGCTCGACAAGAGGAGTCACCCGCACCTCGACCACTGGGAGTGCATCGTCCAGGCCATCGCAGAGTTCGGAGGCCTGGGCCCACGCGCCGCGCAGGTGCAAGAACTGAAAGCCCACGCGACGCGCGCCAAGCGAGCAGCAATCGGCTGCGCGCAATGGGAGGGCAACAAAATAGCTGACCATGCAAAGGAGGGAGCTCTGTACCATACCCATCCAGTCTGGTGTAGAGAAGCCCACGTGCTGAAGTATCGGCGGGCTCGGGACATCCTGGAATTCGGAGCCTATGTAGGTATCCTGGGCCGTCACATTGTCGACACTGAACAGGGCTCGAGTCCGACGGACTCGAACCCCCCCGACCCCCCCTCCGGCCTCCTGGACCTTCCTGGGGACCTGGGGGCGGTCGTGAGCGAGGGGGGCAGGGCCCTGGCGGCCCCCGACCCCCCCGCCCCGCCCCTGGTGGCTTTCCTCCCGTCTCGGGCCGCTCTGGACTGGGGGTGCACCAGGGTCGACAGAGGCCAGAGAGCGGGGCACAAAATCGTGACCCGTAGCACGCATGTCTTCTGCCGCAAGTGTGCCAGGTACGCCCGCGACAGGTGGACGGGCCGATTCTCCCCATGCTGCCCTGGGGCCCAAAGGGTGCTCGGGGGTAGGCTGACACGGTTGTGGAATGGACAGCACCCTTCCACAAACCAGCCCCTGTATGGGCTCTTGGAGCTGAGGGTCTGGCTCGGGGACGGCCCGAAGCGGCCCGACGCTCCCACGGCACGAAAGCGTAGGCGGTCGTGATCCGTTTTGGCCCGCACTTATCCGCACTTATCATCCTCCTCCTCCTCCCCCCCCCCTCCTCCCCCTCCACAATTACTCAATATGAAAATACTCTCCCTCTTCCCCTGATGGCGTCCGGGTGATGGCCGCGCACCCTCCGCGTACTGTTTTTTACACACAGGATGCCCGGGAAATCCCGGGAAACGACTCTCGCTGAGGCGCCGGCGTCATTTTTTCCCAAAATGCTGCTCTCGTTGAGGCGCCGGCCTCATTTCTGCTCCCGAATCGTTCCGAATCGTGCTCCCGCTGCAGCGTGGGCCTCATTTTCGGATCGGTGTTTGGCCTCCGTCGTTCAGGATGGCGTTCTCGCCCCAGCGCGGGCCTTTTTCTCGCGCGCCCATCCGCCCGCCACCACCGCGCCGCACCGCCACCACCACCACCACCACCACCACCACCACCACCACCACAACCGCCACCAGCAC